TCTGGCTGAAAGAGGCCAAAGCTCACTCTAAGTTAACTGAGTCACAATACTTTTTCTCTTACTGAACAATTCTATTTGAGGATCTCCAAGGACTTTTCCATGACAGCTGGCTGTCATTTTCTGGAGAGATGAGTAGTGCTGTCATAGCTACTGTACAGACAGAACACGAGCAATTAAGAGAGCTTGAGCAACTTGCCCAAAACCAGACCAAGAACAGAACTTGCAAGTCCAGACTTCAAGTCCTATTCTATACAATGTGTTCCTAGTTACAAGATGATATTCCTATTAAACCAACACATTATATCACAGTATTCCTATTAATCGCAGGAATTCAAAGCTCTGAAGGTAAGGGCTGACTCTGCAGCTAACAGCCAATTAAGAGTTAGGTGAATTAAAAAAAAAGAAACAAACAAAAGAACTCTCAACCTCCTGCAATTAACATAGAAAATTCAAGGTTTGGAAAAAAGACAACTTACCATGTCAAGTACTTAACTGATTTTTCTGAAAAAGTCAATAGACTCGCATTCAAAATAATAATGTTGCACCTCAACTCCTTAAAAATCTTTTGTACACTACCAGGGCATTCAAGGAACATTACTTTCACCCACACCTCAATTACAATAGGTGATTGCAATTCCTTTATCTTAACTGATTTTTCTGAAAAAGTCAATAGATTCGCATTCAAAATAGTAATAATGTTGCACCTCAACTCCTTAAAAATCTTTTGTACACTACCAGGGCATTCAAGGAACATTACTTTCACCCACACCTCAATTACAATAGGTGATTGCAATTCCTTTATGCTCTGGTGCAAATTAGTTCTGTGCTGTTTAACTACACCGTGTACGAATGCCATCCATTTTCCAAGATTTTCCTTGGAAAATTGAGTTTCTTCTGCTTTTAAGTTACTGTTTAACATGCCACCTCTTTGCTCTGTGGATAACGTCATCCTTCCTCTTTCCTAGTCAACATGATTAATGATTTCTAATTTAAACATTCAAATCTTACTTTAGAGCTAGGATAACAAGCAAGACATCATAAATCTCCACAATACAGGTCTAATACTGGAAGTATTTTGTAAACCACCCACATAGCCAGCACGTGAAGACTACTGCTAACAACACTGTATTTCACACAATCTGACTCTAAAAGTAAAGACAGTTTAGTGCTCAAGTTCAGAAATGGGAGGGGAAAGGCACTTGTTTCAAAATAAAACAAGAAATGTTTCCCTTTGCACTAAGAGTCACCAGAAAGAAAGCACCTCCAGTAGGAATCCAGCCCAGCTCCCTTTCCCAGCCATCATCATCCTGAATGTCCTGATTCTGAGCAGGACATTGCCAGAATTGGTCCCCACCTGGGTCTATAAGCATTTGATGTCTGCTACCCTACCTTGATCCACACAGACTCGCTCAGGAAGCTGAAGGGCACTGGAGGGTTGTCAGCTGCACGTTCCTCCAGACCACTGAAGTCAATTGTGTCTTTGGCAAGGCGGGGGGGTGTGCCAGTCTTCAGCCTGCCCACAGCAAACCCCAGTCTCTCCAGAGTCTGAGCCAGCCCGATGGCTGGCTGGTCCCCTAGCCTCCCAGCTGGGTGCCTCTCCAGCCCGATGAGGACCATGCCCCTCAGAAACGTTCCGGTGGTCAGGATCACGCTCCCAGCATGTACCGTGCTCCCATCCCCTGTAACAGCAAGTTTTCAGAGATACACATATTTTAGTGCTGACAAAGCCCTGGTATTCTGGTGTTTCTAAAACCAAGCTGCCACTGACCACTGAGGGTTTGTCCATCTTTTATTATTTAATCAAATCTGCATTTCAATAATAAAAGCATTAATAGTAGTAACTGCAGTAAGCAGCACGTTCCTTTACAAAGAAAACCCACTCCTGAGAAAACTCCTATCCAGGGCTTTATTTCAGAAAGTTTGTTTACTAGAACAGCAAGGGTTAATAAAGCACCAGTCTGCTAGTAACAGGACACCACTGCCCTGTAACGTAGTTGGTAGCATAGGCCATTTACCACATAAAAGCTCAAAATGCAGCAGGGAGTTCAGTATCATTAGCCTGCAGAAAATTAAACTTAGGTAACCTCTCAGTATCCTATCAATCCAGGTATGCTTTTCATTGCATTACAAATATTAACCTAGTTTAATTCACAGTTGTCCTAAATCACCTCTACTGGCTAATTCAACTTTCACACTGATGAATCAGAAATATTTACCCCAAAGGCTGCATTTAGTGCAGAGTAACTGCAGGTGTTTATGGAGCCACGTACCCAGAACAACTCCTGTGACTCGGCATTTCCCAGGGTGGTCGGGTTCTGGCTCTGTCAAGAGAAGATCCTCCACAGACGCCTCATGAACTGTCAACAGTGGTGTGTTAAGGATTTCTTTCTGTCATGAAAGGAGTTACTGCAAAAGTCTAGGAAGTTTTGAGACATATGAGCAGTCCCAAACCCTGCTGACTGCCAAAGCATCTACCTCCCTCCTCCCTTCTCCACTCTTACTGGCTCACCTGGCTGACATGTGGTTACTATACTATCCTGATCTACCAAGTAGAACTTTTAATTCACAGATAAAGACTTTAGAACAACTATTTGGTCATGATGCCTGACCTATATAAAATGCTACAGAATTTTTTAAAACTACGCTGAGCTTCAGCAACCTTCACTGCACTAAAGTGCCAAACAGAAAGGTATCTAGGTTTGACAGGAAAATATTAAAAACCAAAGCACCCCCCCATCACCCTCTGTAGTCTATTCCAATACTTCAGATTTGAGTAATTCATTCTAACACTCCAGCCTAGAGACACACACAAGGAAACCACTGGAAGAAAAAGCATGTTTTTAAGCTAGCTGGTCTCTTTAAGAACAGCTGCCATTTTTATCAGACTCTATATATGTAGATACCCCTACACACCGTTAGTTACCCTCAACAGGGCAATCTCGGGGCCACTCGCACTCCCGCTCCCAGGCTGATGCTCTCCCACCCCTCCTGGGTCCCGGCCGGGGAAGGCTGGTGC